CAAAGGGCAATAAAATAAAAAAATTTAATTATTAAATAGATGTATACTGTTAAAAGTTTAAAGCTACTTGGGATAAACGAATGTAGTTTCATGTTACAATTTTAAGTCATTCTAGAAAGAAAAAAGGTAATTTAGATTTATTTGATTTTTCTTTTAGTGGTTACGAGGTCGGTCAAATTGACCAACCTTGTATAGAGTTAGGGTAGAGAAAATAACAGATAAACTATAAAGTTTTACTAAAAAAACGTTTGAAATGCATTTAGGAGGTTTCAGGGATTACATAAAGGAAATTTGAGCTTTTTCAGATGAGAATAGTATTTTTAATTTTACATGTAAATTACTTTGCATATGGATAATAAAAAGATTAACATAAAATCCTGATTTGACTGTGATTTGATTTCAAGATTTCCCCATGATAGTCGAACACTATAACTACTGTGACACCCAGTCTTTGGAATCGGATGTTAGCAAATCATTCAAATCCCTAACATAAAGTATCATGTTATTGTTTTTATTTTCAAATGTTGTAATATCTTTCTCTAAACATGATTAGTTAATAATTTAAAAAGTTATATAAAATTCTCACTCGATGGGATTTGAACTTAAGACTTCTGCTTAAGGCAAACCACTGAGCCAATCTGAATGTTGGTAACAGAGAGTCAAGCATTACTGACAAAGAGGTTGTTCTGAACAGAGTGGCTTTTAATATATAGATATTAATCATATACATACATATATATATATATATATCAGGTCATCCCATAAGTTCTGTCCGGATTTTAAATAAAGAAAATGAGTGATCAAATCTTACATTTTATTGAAACTTAATCATCAATGTAGTTTCCATGATTATCTGTGACTTCTTTACATCTGCTTACAAGCTTTTTAATCCCACTACTAAAAAACTCTTTCGGTTTCTAAGAGAAGAACTCTGAAATGTCAGTTTCGACCTCCTCATGGCTCGTGTGAGTTAATCCATTCAAATGATTCTGTAAACTACGGAACAGATGGTAGTCTGAAGGAGCAAGGTTGGGAGAATAAGGCGGATGGTGAATCTTCTGGGACGTGATTTTTGCAGTGTGGGGTCGTGCATTGTCCTGATGAAACACCACTCCTCTTCGATTCACTAAAACAGGTCTTTTTTTCTTTAAAGCCACGTTCAAACGCTCTAATTGCTGACAATTGACTTGAGCATTGATTGTCGCATTAGTTGGCAGCAACTCAAAGTGAATAATTCCTTTGCAATCCCACCAGATAGAGAGAAGAACCTTCTTCGCATGAAGTTCCATTTTCGGTTGTGGTTGGGCCTTTTCCCTATTACTGAGCCACTGCCTACAACGTTTAACATTTTTACAAAAAATCCATTTTTCATCACCAGTCACAAATCTATCCAAAAAAGGCGAGATAAGGTCGCGAGAATGAAGAGAAGAGCAGATCTTAACACGCGATTTGCGGTTCACTTCAGACAATTCACGAGACACCCATTTTCCAAGTTGAGGAGCCTTTCCAAGTT